CCCACCCCCTCCACCCTAAATCCTCGCCCACGAGTGCGCACCCACTCCCTCTTCTATCCCGAAGAATACCCACACAATCCCTGCCCCACCCACACACCCTCACACCAGAATCACAGCTAGTACTGGTAGACCCCCCACACGCACCCCCTCCACCATCACCCAAAAGGGGAAGAAGGGTGTAAAAAAAGGGGAGAAACGCAAGTGCCGATGTTCAGCCAGTGGTGGCGCTGGTCGGCGTCTCCCGTCAGTTTTTCACGTACCACAGAGGCGGCAGCGTCACCCCTCTTCGTCAAATTCGAAATTCGCGAGTGTTGGTGAAATTGAAGTGCAGGTCAGCCGAAAAATCAATCAATTTCACGATAATTGATGACAAGTGGATTGAGTGCAGTGGTGTGAATTAGTGATGGATTCCACATTGATGAAGAATTGGGTTGATAATGTGAGGTTTGAAGGGTTGATGTTAGATTGAGATCGAGGGGGTGCGGGTCCAGCCCAGGGTGGTATCGTCAGTGTCTCCATTCGCCTTTGGGCGTCATGGACCAGCGGAAGGGAACAGTTGTTCTAACTCGATTGCTACCGAGTTAGATGCATTGGTGATGGATAGCAAGCACACAAGAAGCGTTTGAAGTCTTCGATGATAATGACGAGTGGACACGAATTTCCGCCCATTGGCGTCATTCTACTTCTCATCATCAGCATTATCACTGCTGACAAGTGCGCGGATGAGTGCACATGCAAGTGGAAGAGTGGAAAGAGAACGGTTGAGTGTGTCAATCGTTCGTTGAGCTCAATACCCGATACGATAGACCCTGAGACCCAGGTGTTGGATGCCAGTGGTAATGACATAAGAGCATTACCGAGTAGTATCTTCATTCGTGTCAGTCTGACAAATCTTCAGCGGCTGTATCTTCGTGGCTGTCGTATACAGCAAATCGATAAAGATGCATTTGCTGGTCTGACTAATCTCGTTGAGTTGGACCTGTCCAACAATCGTTTGTCGGTGATACCGAGTGATAGCCTGATCAGAGCACCATTTTTACGTGATCTATCGTTATCCCATAATCCCCTGGAGCGTGTTGTCAGTCAAGCATTTCGTACAACTCCAAATCTCGTTAAGCTCGATTTATCAAATGCCCAAATAGCTGAAGTTGAGGGCAATGGTTTTCGTGGATTAGAGTCACTGGAGAGTCTCAAGTTGAATGGTAATCGCATTGGTACCTTCCAACCTGGTACCTTCGAGCCCCTCAACAAGATAAAGAGTGTCGAATTACAGGATAATCCGTGGATCTGTAACTGTCATCTACGGGAGATGAGACAGTGGATGGCAAAGCACAACTTGCCTATTATCATATCGCCAGTTTGTCACGGTCCAGATCAGCTTGTCGATCGGCCCTTCACGGAGCTCGAGCTCGATGATTTTGCGTGCAGGCCTGTTATGATGATAGCCAGTCGTTACGCTGAGGCGACGATAGGTGAGAACGCAAGCATCGTGTGCAGGGTATCATCAGTTCCACCAGCTAAGGTCAAATGGTTCTGGAATGGCAAACTTCTGTCGAATCAATCGGCCTTCAGCAGCCACCAGAAGATCTTTATCTACGAGGAGGGACAGTTCTCGAAACGTAGTATGTTGATTTTAACCAACGCCCAGGAGTCAGACTCCAGTGAGTTTTTCTGCGTTGCGGAGAATCGGGCTGGCTCGGTTGAAGCTAACTTTACCCTTCACGTGTCATTGAGAACAGCTGGTATGTCAACCCTGGGATCTGGTCAAATCGCTGGTATATCAGCAGCTCTCGTCGTCCTAATCCTCTTTATCCTCCTCATAATCCTCGTTCTGTTTGTTCGGCTCCGGAGGATGCCCGTCAAAGAGGTGAAGAACGCAACAGCTACTCTTGAGGTACTTCCAAGTGACACCAATCAGGACATCGGCGGGGGCTTCCCGGGCTCACCCTCATCCACAAGGAAAGCCGAGGAAGCCGAGACAACCTTCAATGACTCCACCAAACCAGTCTCGTTGACCCTAAACTACGTTCAACGGACGTCAGTCGAGAACAACGCCAGTGATTACGTGTTCGAAGAAGCAAGACCGGTTATACACGGTCCGTGCTTCTCCTCGACAACGTCTCTGGTACCCATTGACAATCCTGACTTGATCAGGGACACTCGCACGTCTATCGAGGAGCTCGGCTCCTACGCAACGGAACACCTGGGGACCATTATGATGGAAGACACTAGACTGCTGTACTCCAGTCTGTGGAACACGAGGGAACGTAGCAGTCCCAGCTATCCTGGCCCCAATGCAAGTGGTTTTGGGACAAAGGATATCCCTGCGAATCTCACACCGATCGAGCAATTTCCGCCCGGTGCCAAACAGCTCAGGGTTTGGCAGAAGGGCGTGCCCGTTTTACCACCTGTGTCGGCGTTGAAACGGGTCCTTGGCTCAACCAGGAGTTCGCCAGATGAGGGCTATCAGGAGGGTACCGGCACAGATGTCTAGGTGCCACTGCTTCATTACTGCGATCCACGGCATCGGTATCTCGAGCTCATTCGGAGGCACCAGGAGGACGTCAGAGGCGATTTAGGAGATTTGGGGGATGCCCCGGAGTGAGTGTTGTGTGGTGGGTGATTCAGTGTCAGAAAGCCAGTGGTTAGTTCACGCATCGGGCCAATTGGAATGGCCAGTGACTCGTAGCGCCAGGCCTCACTGGGCCCGGCGCGTATGGCGGGAAAATTTGAATTCAGTTTACGCATCACGCATCGAATGGGCACCACCGGCTGGCGAATTTTTTATGATGATGGAGGTGGTGTTGCTGATGAAGTGGATTATCGTAGTAGTGAAATTGGGGAGAAATTGAGGGGAATAAGGACTATTGAGGCTCGGTGATACCCTGGGGGCGCGACTGGGTCAAATGGACATTATTAATGCAGACCTAGGTGTCCCGTCTTCAGGCACAATATCAGATTATTGCGGGTGGGAATGTTTACGTACCTCAATGGATTCTCCGTTGAATTGTGTACTTTTACTTTGGTTTTGGGGTTATGGGAATTTCTTTTACGAGTCAAGACTGTACATGTTATTGAGGGGGTGTATAGATAGCCATTGAATTTATTGGAGATATGTTGAGTTTATATGGAGATTCAGAGGAAGTTAATATATATATGTATACACACCTTTTTTAGTCGATTCAATAATTAGGATAGTGGCGGCGGAGGGGGGAGCTGTTGGGGGTGAAGAGGTGGGGGAGTTTTTGTAGATTATATCGTCTCCTGGAAGATGTTTAATCGTTTTTTTTTTGTGAAATTAGTCATTACTGAAATGATTCAGCGATTATCAAGTACTACGAGGAAAAATCAAGTGTACTATTTCGCTTGTATCTCGGAATCCTGCGGTTGGATTACAAAATGTATACAACATTTTTTGTCGATCTTGAATTGCTCCACAAAAAAATTTTCTAGTGTTTTTTTTGTTCATCCACCGGATTTCAAGATATTTGCATAATTATGGGAAATTTTATGTTTGATAAATTCCAATGCACCACTTTGCTGTGAAATCGAGAATTGCTTCGATAATAAATAAAATATGACGATTTACTCGATTTTAAATGAACGATTGGGATGTTCTCCAACAGGGCTCATCTCTCCGCTACAAAATACTCGAAATGAAAAGAGAGGATGTTTTTTTCAATGAAAAAAATATTTAATTGGTTTTAGGGGGTTTCTTAGGGAGTCGTGGGGTTATAAATAATTTTAAATAATGAAGATTATAGGGAAAAAATTAACGTTGTTTGTTGTCTGGATATTCGGCAGGCGGATGTCTGTCGGAATTACGTTATTGTACGGTATAAATAAGTGTGAGTTTTTGTGAGTGACAGTGCGAGTGGAAATTTGAGTGTATCGAGTGATTCAAATGCGTGAGGAATATTTTATATTAATCATTAGTTCATTCAGGATTTTAGATTTGTCAATGTTAACGTGACTGTGTCATTCTATGAATTTTATTCATTATTTCACTTAATTTGAGTGGAACAACAGAAGAATAAATTCAAATTCTATCCGACTTCGAGTCACTTTCGTTTTTAACGAATATCTCCGGATCTAGAGGGAATAGCGCAATTTTCATTGGAACTTTTTTATAGACGAATTGGAGATCTGCAAAAAAGGTTGTAATAACCATTTATCTATCTCTCATGGATTCAGAGCTACGTCGCAAAAACAGAATTGAAAATTGTGAATTCATGGCGATGATTAATTGCATAATCGTTATCGTTTATGCAAATTCATCAAATATTTAACATCAGTGAAATGACGAAAGAAAAATCGCAGTAATGACTAGTCAATTAACATAAACAAATAAAATTAAACGATTGAATTTCGTTTTATAAATTCATCAGAGTTATTAAACATTCGGAATTCAACTTAATATTTACGAATATTTTATAATTACTATTTTAACGACATATCTGGACTCCATATCGAGAAACAAATTAGATGAAAAACCAAAGGAAAATATCTGCTCAAGCGATAAATTCTCAGCATTTTCCATTCTCACTTACCTAGAATCAATTATTTAAATTTGTACATATCGATAAAATTCCTAACGAATGTTCACCCTAGAGCGTGAGGGATTTCCATCCTATAATTTTTTTACTCACATCCCCTTGAGCGCAGACATTTTTCTTTGCAGAATTATCCATCAGGCATATCACTGGAATGACATTTTACTCTCATGAAATTCGAATTTTTGATGGTATGAAATTTTAAATTAGTGGGGGCGAGAGAGGAAGGAAAATAAATGGCGCGTGAGGTGTCGTGAGTTGATTGATTCGATGTTCAGAGACGTTAAAGCCTCTGTCAATAGATCGATGAGGAACCATAGGGGACAATAAGGCGAGGAAAGCGGAGATAATATTCTTGAAAATTTATCTTTGAATTTAAAGCGATTGAAAATGCACCTTTCAACGTGAAATTCGATGGCAAAACCGTGCATTAGATTATATTTATGGTTTTCACCGATTTATCTCGTAAAGTTTTAACTTTAGGAGCCATCGAATTATCTTAGAAGACCTATTTGGGAGGAAATTTTATCAGCTACAAAAAAGTTCCTTAACATGTCACTCTGCAGAATTTTAGTTTTGTTAATTATCGATGCATCTCGGAAACTATCGATTCCAGGTAAAAACATGAGAGGACTTTTTTCAAGGGGATTGAATTTCGTGCAAAAAATGTCATCTACTATTTCCTCTTAAAATCAATAGTTATCGAGATAAAGCGATCGCAAAGAAAAACTTTAAATTCGTCTCATCCTACTTCACTTGATTGCGACGAAAAATTTTTAACTAACAATTGATATTCATAATATTCAATCAATGATGGGTGGGATTCAAAAAATTAAGTGGTGACAGGGTAATTTTTCCCCGAATTCAGGTAACAATTACCAAACGCTCGGAAATAATTCCAGAATTAGGGAACATTTCGGTAATTTTTATTGCATCTCTCTCAGTTTAAAAAAACATTTTGCGAAGGATTCATTCACCTCATTAAATATGTATGTCCGTAAAATTTTTATTTCTCCAATTGATCTTGAGTAAGGGTTGGTACGAATAATCATGTTGCTCCAGAGAATGATTATATTAGTTATGCCTTTGAATGAAGTCGACCAATTATCATCGATATTAAAGTATTTTCATGTACTTCATCTCGTTCGAGATTCCAACATTAAATCCGTCGCTGTGACACGTTTACCCGTCCCGACAAATTATATGACGGTTCCAAATTTGACAGGACTATTATCAGGATTATTTCGCATATACCATTTCCATTTTAGGAGTTTGAGAATTCGTAACTTCAAAATAAATCGACAGTTTTCCGAGTTCATTGTAATACAATGAAATGTCATGAGTTTTTTTTAGTAATCATTCCCGCGTATTTTAAAATCATTTAAGAAATCACGCAGCTACTGTACTATTTCGAGCGAATCTTAAATTAAAGTTTGGCACGGGATTCAAATCAATACATAATCTAGAACATAAATGAGATCTGTCTTGCCGATATATATGCGAAACATGTACTAATTATTATATAATTATATGCACGTATATTTTGGTGAAGAATATATGAGATACATACTGAATACATCGAGACATACATCCGATATGTATCTGATATATATATAATATATATATGCAGCAAACAATGCAGTGTCGTATATATGTCACACATAATTATCAGTACATATATATCTTCCCCTCACGAAAAAAATAGATAATAATCAGTGGAGTTTATCCAAGGTTAAATTTCGTAATGATAATCATGTTTGGAAGTAATATAATGATTATTATATTATTTTTATCGTAAGTTAATCGGAATCACCTGAAAATTACTCAATTGGAGAAATAACCTTCTCGAAAAGTCGATAATTCGGACAAGTAAATGGATCATTAAAGGTGAATGAGAAATGGGTTTATCTTTATTTTTTCGTTATGTGAAAGAGCAATCGACGGATTTTGGAAATAGGTGGAAAATGTCTCACTGCCGTCATGATATTTTATGTCTCACTAAGGTGAGATATTTTATCACAGTAGGTGTGGGGTGTTGAGAATGGGCCAACGTGGAATAACTTACGTCGTGCCGTCACGATAACGACGTTGGGCCACGGTAGTTTGAAAGTGTGCAGCCGACAGGCTACTCCACCACGTTTGCAACCAGCTTCGATCGAATAATTAGACTTCACTAAGTTTAATTGTTGTAACACCCTCTTTCTTTTCCCACGGATTTCGGCCGAAAGTCTGATACTTCAGACGCCCGATCCAATTACAAAAATTTCAGTCTGTCATATGAATTTTTAATTAAGGCAGGCTCAAGTCAATTTTAATTGATAACGCTCACCGAATTTATCGGTTGAGAAAAAGTTTGGCATTTTTTGGGGCTAATCCTGAGAGATCATTTCATTTTTAGAAAATTCGGGGGGAATTCCCTTTTTTTGCAATTTTATTTTATCGTACTGGAAAAATTGAACGGGATTTACAGAAAATTATGAATTCAGGAAGTAGTTTGGAAAATAATTGATTAATTAATAATTCATTCAAGTTTGGATTTTCATTTGTGTTCCGCGGAAGTGAGAATTTTTAATAATAAAAGCCCGTGAATATTCAGGAAAGCCTAAATATGATAAAAAACAAGTGAATAATTATGAATAAATGAATAAATAACAACTTCATGAAAAATAGACCGGAAAATTATTGGTAAAAATTCGGTGCTTAGAATATTTCAAAAACAGAAAGAAAATTAAAGAAATCAATAATATTAATAAATTCCAACATTTGATGGAAATTACTAATTGATAATAATTGGTGGTCATTATTAATTAAATAATTTAATCTTCGGAAAATCATTTATCTCGGAAAAATACACAGGACATGTTTCACACGTCCACTTTAACATTTCAATCCGCCACGAATTTCTTTGACAAAAATTATCTCCGTGTAGGTCACATTCTCA